TGAAATGAAAAGTCATTCCTTTACAGGAGACCAATTTTGAATGAACGGAACATTATAAAGTTTTCATTTTAACACTGAGGAGACAAATTAGGGTGGTCAAAATCCTGGGAGAAATCGGGTTTTGGGGTAGCTTGGGTCAGCAAATTTCGGCTGAGCCACCCAACCGATTAAAAAAGTGACGCCTGTAAACTTCACCCAGGGACCTTTGAACATCACATTTCCGCTATCCGCTCATCCGTCTTTACCACTTATGTCCGATGGGCATGAGAAAATGGTACATTTACTGCTAATCCTGTCGATGGTTCTAGAATCAGTGAGACGCAAAACCAGCGCGTTTCGGCGCATGCAGCTTGAGCTCATATCGCACTGTCGTGTTTTGGACTGGGTAAACAGAACTCGTTTGCCAGGCTTTTTTACCTTGGATTAAGACCATTGAGCATAATTCCATTTTGTTTCTCACTATAACTGTACACTGTATGTAATGTTGTTTATCCAAAATGCATTCGCTACCGAGACCTCCACATGTCATGGCGGCGAGTCTGCGGTGACGGCCTGCCATTCTCTCCGCCCCCCCCCCCCTTCCTCCTCCTGTCATTGGCGGTACATCAGCTGTCCTATTCGCAGACGGTTGAACATGACGGTGTAACGCTGTACGCCCTTCGTCAGTTTTTTGTGTGCTGTTCTCGAGCCTCATTTCCTGCATCTTGGCAATGCATCTATAACGTCATGTGTGTCCCCCCCCCCCCCCACTTGGAAGCTTGTGACGACCGTGCCTCGGCATCAACGAGACTCACCGGACACGCGCAGCAATGTCAGACATATCTCCATCTAGCCACTTTCTCTAAATGATGTGGAATGGTCGTGTGCCGTCACCCGGTCTCATATCTCTCTGCATCCTACATTCGAGTGCACTCACGGCGTGCCTGCCGACAACGTCGTTCGACGGAGACTGACCTGAAGGACGTTCTTGAGCGGATCACGCGGCGTAGCGACGACGGAGGCGTCGTTGTCGTTACGGCCATCGACCTGAGGCGCACCTTCGACAGCCTTGATTGTGGTGTCCCGAACAAGGTGAAATGGTACGGTGTCTACCTTAGCTGGTTCGAGAGGTACCTTGTTGACCGGTGGGAAGAAGTGAGCGGTGGTTCATAATTTCTGCTGATGTTCCACTGTGTCCCCATCCTCCCCAGGATCCATGGTCGGTCTAATTCTCTTGAGCATATTTACAAGCGACCTAATTTGCTATAGTATCTCACGGACGTCTAACATCTAGATATAGTATCCTAGATAAATGCCGATGATACCAAACTGCTAGACTTAAGCTTGTCCTGACGATCTAACCACGAAAAAAGCGACCAAAGGAGGCCCTTATCACTGTCCAAGCCTATTTTGCATCAAACTTCATGAAATGGACCCAACCAAGGGTATGCAGCTCCTTGCCGGAACAGCCAAAAACCTCAACAGAACCACACGCTTTCATTTTAACATGCATGATCACAGACTGACGTCTTCACCGTCGGTGAAGGTGATAGGAGTGACAGTCGACCATCTTCTATCCTGGGAGCACAACCCACACCTTGTCGAGAGCTTAGCTTAATAAACAGAACGTTTATTTAGCTTAAGTTAAGAAACCCGAAAACCGGTAAAACCCTGGCCCTTTGACATGACCTGTTTAGTCTGTCAGCCTGGAGTGGGGCTGCTGCGCGTCATCTGATCAGGGTGCAGAAAACGCTGACCTTTGGGGTCACGGTCTTCTCGGGGGCACCTGCCACTGATCGCATCTCGCCGATCATGGTGTGACTTACCTGACTGGCGTACTGCTACAGCTGAGATTACCAGTCCAGAACGGTTAGGTAATATTCATTCCGCACGCAAGGTGAGAAAATATTTTATGCTTTGCATATTCCGGAAGCTATCTTTCTTTCCACTGACGACCCTGAAATACAATTGGTTTATTATTTCAAAAGACATGACTGCTTCCTGATCAACAGCGTGAGGTCACTACTGTGCAGGCTTCTCCCTGGATTCACCAATGCTTGCATTTTCCGGAAAAGCCCCGACCAAACATACAGAATGAATTTCTTCGACATTACTTCCTTGAATCCCACAGCACGTATGGGATGAAGGAAAACAATTAAAAGCCTCCATTCCTGGGAACTTATCAGGGTAAAGTGGTTTGCCTATCCAAGCAAACATAAATCTGGAATGGTGAGACAAAAAACGAATTGCTGTATTCTGTCTGGAACCGCCACTTAAAGGACTGCTACGTTTTTTTGCATTGTCTTTGTTTTAGACATCGTTGAGCAATTGCACCTCATAACTTTTGGGAAATTAAAATACTCGGATGAGGTAGAATGCTGGTATGACCAGCGTACCAATAAAATAAGCGCATTACTACACGTGTCTCTGTGCGATAATGTGATGGTACCGCCCACAAGGCAGTGTGAAGAAGGTGGACGACGCAATTGGTGTACTTGTGTTGCACTTCTATGCCAACCACATGTGGCCGCAACTCTATTACGCGACGGTGACCAGCTGCTTCCGTTGACCGCTCCGGTCACCTGGTCTGGTCTGGTCTGGGCTTGAATGTACTATCAGAATTGAACTGCAGTCTGCAGAAATTAATTGTGTGAAATTCATGCAGATAGAGATCCTACTGGCTTTAGAGACTCGTTAGTCTTGTATGATAATATTCAGGTAAATACCGTGCAGGTCGCGGGGATATGGTATCACTTACCATTTAATCACATGGACTTATGCCGTATGACGCTACGAACAAGTAATTCTTTGACTGATGCCGACACGTTCACAAGTGGGACTGCAAGATTCCTCTGCTATAAACAATGTATTTATCGCGCCCGGACAGCCACTGGCGGACTCACGGAGGGATTTCAGTGCCCCAGCTTCCCTGCAGGAGGTCACATGTCCCAGTGTAGAAACTCACCACTCTGCTGACAAATTTGGAATGAGGGACATTTTGAAAGCGCGTTGCTTGAGATGAAAAGTTTGCTTTTGTTTTTAACAATTAGTTACTAACTTTTAAGGCCGCTTCTACTGCATTGTTCATTTGCACCCCTTGTTTTGTGATAAAGTTATTCTATTTCATTTCATGTTAAATTGTTGCATGACTTATTTTAAAGTTTAAGTGTAACCAGGCGGCTTCAGTATAAACTTTCACCGGGACATAGCAACATGAGCTTCGATAGTCACACCTTGGCAATTTCCTGGGCCCGTCACGGCCTATAGTGACGTTACTATTGCTCCTCTCCCACGCGGATTTCACGTGGTGTTAGGCACCGACTGTAACGGCGCGGCATCGTAGGAGACTGCGACGCTTGGCACGCGCTGCAGCGTTTCATTTAACGCTGAATCGCCCACATGTTTTGTGGTTCTCAGATGAGGGTCAGATGTTGCGCTCGTGCATTGGGAGGTATATGAAAACCCTTTCAACAGCTGTACCTTGCACTATCGAAAAAGTACTCTCCGTCATGTTCTAACGTGCTTGGCCTTTTAACTTTTGCCTCAATCCATTAATAGACTTAGCCAAACGTTACTAGTCCCAGCACGGTTTGAATATTTTTCACGTGAAGATGAAGGCAACGTTATTGGATACGGAAAAGCAATTGGCTGTTTAATTTATTTCTTCCTACATTCGTCTGCTTCCAAACACGCCAGTAATGTATGGCAAAGGTAGAGTCGCATCGCGCTGAACCGCTAATCACGCTGTTAGCATTCCACCATCACAAAATGCTCTTGGCTGAGCTTTTTAGACCACTTTGTCTCGGTATTCTTAATCTGTTTTCCCTTCACTACACCTGAGTGCCACCTGGATATAGGCTGAGACACCATGGATATAACGATGTTTCGAAGAGAATGGGACAAATCAATATTGGAGTGGGCAAAGAGGAATCTGGGGGAAACCCAACCTGACAAAAAAACAACATTTTGAATCGGAAAGTGAAGAATATACATTCGACTAAAAAATGTAGGTAACGAACCCTATCGTGCCAAAATTTGAAAAACGTGCTCCCAGTCCGCAGTGGTCACACCCATGCGTGCCTCAAGGGCGGCTCCAATACCAAATCTTGGGGCGGGGCAAATTAGAATATCCCACCAGTTCACCGAAAACCAATCGTAAGGAGAAGACCAAAGCGTTATCACCGCGTTGGGTGAGGGGACATCGCTTACTGATGGCAATTGGCTCACAAGTGGAGTGGAACTTCTGTCCATCACTTACGTGAACCTTGGTTTCAAATAAAACTCTGCGTTTCCGGAAGCACGGCTGCCGCTGGAGTCGGAGGTGTCGGGGATCAGATATGTGCGTGCTGAGACTGAGACCCACGTCGGTATCAAAGTCGCATTGAAATGGCAATGCCAACGTGACTTAAAAGTGCGAGTCAAGGCCTTTAACGAGCTGAAAAAGACAAAAGCAGGCTGAGGTATTGCAGATGTACGCCGACCCGTTCAGGAAAGCTGTCCCCCGCCGACCCGATACGCATCGGACGCTGGCTGTGCGCCAGATAGAATCTGCGCTTGACCTTCGTACATCTCATGGCCGAGCTCCGGTGCCGGTAACTGGCCATTCTTTACGCGGCGCCCGCGCGCCACGCGACGTCTCGTCCGTGAAATATGGAGCGCCAGGCTAAACGAAGGCCCATTAATTTGGCGCGGTGTGTCGCCATGACTACGCCGTCACGTGACCTCTGCGCGTCCCGCCCAGACGGGTTTCTGTCGAGACGCTCATGTCGGCCGTGGAGGTCATTGGAAACATAATCCCAGTGTTTAGCGGATTTTCGAAATGCGACCCCCTGGAACGTCCAGTGAAGCTTGAAAGTGGCCGCGTTTTGCATATATTACGCGTCGTACGGGACAGCTTGGGAATATAGGGCCATTTTGAGACCAGCAAATGCAAAATCTAAAATAATTGTATTTTGAGCGTAAAAACTACTCGAAGTAACACCGAGTATATTGACCACGGTTTGGCAAAATGGACTATCAGCAATGTTTCTTCGGGTGTTTATTAAATACACACGAACGGCGAGTGGATGAAGATCATCACAACCTGAAACGGGAGCAGCTCGAAAGAGCGTAAAGTGCAGTGGAAGGGCAAAGATGATAATCGATGACATACGCGCAGGTCTGGCCTGCCAGCCACACAACAGACACACGCGCTTGCCCGCTCTCACCGATCGCGCAGCAGTATTGGCACATATATGCATTCCCGTAGTCGTAGCGTTGTTGGCCCCCTCTATGGCACTGACGCCCCTTCCTAAGTCACGTGGCCAACGCGAGCGGACAACGATCAGGACAGCCCCGCGCAACAGCCCAATCAACAACATGATTCCCTGAGTCCGTCCAGCGCCGGCCGAACGGACGTCAAAGTCGATCGCATGATCTGTAAAATACTCGCGTCATCGAAAACAATGCCTCGCCGCCGCGCCTTTCAACACAATGCCACGCCAAGCCAGCGACGAGTACGGCCTCCGCGTCACTGAGCGTGCAGGCTGCGGCCGTCCGGAGACGCCCGCGCCAGACCCCTGAGCTCGTCACTGAGATGCAACGCCGAGCGCGCGCGCGCGGCCGCGCCGCCCTTCCTGAGATTCGTCTGAGATGCGTAGGAACTTGGCACATGTCTTTTCCCGATGAGATGCACACGTCACATCTATCACAACGTCGCTATGTACATGGCACTGGGCGCTGAAAGCGAGCGAGGCTGGCTCGCGGGAGGGGAGCGTCCTGAGTTCGGTGCGCCGACTTCGAGGCGAGCTGGCGACGCAAGCCGGTCAGAAGCTGGGCTGCATCAGGTGGCCGTTGGTGTTGCCGTTGGTGGTGCCGGAGAAAGCTGCTTGAGCCTGGCCCGGGTGCGGCGACCAGCTTTGCTGCGGGCTGGCCGGCGGCGCCTCGTGGGTGGGCATGTGCTTCTCCATCTGATCCTTACGGATGAAGCCCTTACCACACTGCTGGCAAATGAACGGCTTCTCGGTCAAGTGGGTGTACTTGTGCCGCTTGAGGTCGGAGAAGTGCGTGAACTCCTTGTCGCACGTGTCACACTGGTGGCGCCGCCGGTGCGTGCGGTCGTACTCCTGGCAGCTGACCTCGGGCCGGTGTCGTCGGCCGCACTGCGCGCACTTCGTCAGCCGCTCGCCGTTGTGCTGGCTCTCGCGGTGCAGCTTGTAGTACTGCAGGCTCGAAAAGCGCTTGTTGCAGCAGACGAAGGGCTCCTCGGACAGCTCGGAGTCTTCGGAGCTCTGCCCGCTGCCGCTGGCTGAGCCTGGCGATGCTGCACCCTCCGACTGGGCGTCACCCCCGTCGCCGTCGTCAGGCTGCGCCGGAGGCGCGGGCAGCGGCGGCGGCGGGGGCTGGGGCTGTTGCGGCGGTGGCTGAGGCTGCTGCGGCGGCGGGCCCGCCTGGCTGTACACCGGCTGGTAGCTCCCGAAGCCGTACGGCATGCCGGCCGCGCTGTAGGCGCCGTGGAAGGACGTCGGCAGCGGCTGCGGGTTGGGCGCGGTCGCCACCGACACCTGGTACTCGGGCGCCACCTGGTGAGCGTAGCCGAGCGTCTGCGGCGGTGGCGCTAGTATCGGCGTCGGACTCGGCTGCGACGGCGGCGCCGGCGGCGGCGGTGGCGGCGGAGGCAGAGCCGGCGGCCGCGGCTGCTGCCGCTGGCCGAAGTCGAAGGCAGCCGGCGGTGGCACGCTCTCCTGCATCGGTGGCGTCATCGGGTACTGCGGCGGAGGCGGCCCGCTGGCCGGGAAGCCAGCCATGCCGTACATGCCGGACGCCATGCTGACCAGCGGAGGCGGCGCGGCGGCTGGCTCGCCGAAGCCAGGCCGCGGCCGCTGCTTCGCCTTGGCTGCACCGGGGCCGCCCGAACGCTTCCCGTCCTTGGCCTGCCGGTGCACGATCGTGTTGAAATGCCGCTTCAGGTGTCCCATGCTGGTGAACTTTTTGTCGCATATTTCGCAGAGGTAGGTCTTGGGCCGCTTGCAGTGCTGGGCCTGGCCGGGCCGCAGGGACTTGTCGCCGGGGGAATCTGGCCCCGATGGCGGCCCGCCACCGAAGCCCGGGTACAGCGTGGGAGGCGGCATGGCTACCTGCAGACCGGCGGCACCCACGTATCCCTGCTGCTGCTGCTGCTGCTGCTGCTGCTGCTGCTGCTGCTGCTGTTGGTGATGAAGTTGCTGATTTTGCTGGAGCTGCTGATGTTGCTGATGTTGTTGTTGCTGCTGCTGCTGCTGCTGCTGCTGCTGATACGGCGGCTCCATGTACACCTTGGGTGGGATCATAGGTGGCGGCGGGGTGGAGGCAAAGTGGCTGGGCGCGGCGGCGTATTGGGGAGGCGGGTGGCCAGGGTGGCCAGGGTGGCCGGAGAGGCCGGGCAGCCCCGGCAGCCCAGCTGCTCCACCACCATAGTACAGCTGCTGCATCGACGTCCAGCCGGCCACTGGCGCCGGCGTGTAGAAGTGCACCCGGTTCGAGTCGAGGTCGAGAATCTCGGCGCTCTCGTCGTCGGGCGACTTGGAAGCGTGGCCGCCGAAGCCTCCGCTGTCGGGCGTCGGGGGGAACTGCGCCTCGCTCCAGACGCCGGACTCGGGGCCCGGCTCCGGGCCCGGCTCGGCCGGCGGCCAGTACTGCGGGTAGAAGTGCTCCTCGCCGGGTCGCGCCATGGCCGGCGCGCCGCCGCTCTTGGCTTCGCCCGCTCGCAGGCCGTCCCACTCCGTCGAGTTGTTTTCGTGCGTGGCGAGGAAGGGTGGCGCACGCTCCCGCGGCTGCGCCTCGGGCGGCGCGGCCGGCCCCGGGCTGCCGGTCGGAGTCGGCGCCGACGGCGCGTGCGAGTACTGCTCGTGGATCTCGAGCGACGTCGCGTTGGAGAAGTTGCGGCCGCACAGCTTACACGCGAACGGCGCCGCGCCGGCCGACGCCGCGCGCTGGCCGTCCATGCTCGCCGGCCGGCGGGCGCGTTTCCCGCGCGCGCGCGCGCGAGCCTCACCGCTGGCGGCCGCGTGTCGCGTCACTCGCGGCGCACCTGCGTCGGGATCGCAACACTCGCACTCGCGTCACCACCACAAGTCGAAGCACTGCGCCTGTTTGTTTTCGGGGACCGGCAGGACAGCGGCGCCCATGTGTAGTCTCTTTTTGTGCGAGTGGCAGGACTGATCTGGCCGGCGCCGTCCGCCCCGAGCGTCCGCGCTTACCTGTACACAACTATCGCCCTTGTCGACTGACGAAACCCCAAGGTCAAAGGTGGTAATCGCGTCCAACCAGCGACCGGTCAGAGATTTTACGAGGCTGGGGAATAAAAAAGAACCTGCACTAAAATTAGCTGGAGATTTCGCAGGTGTTGTGTCTGAAATAATCCACCTGATGTTCTTGACCTGTACACATAGAATATTTTGGACAAAGTCGGCGTCGAAGTGGTCGCAAAGAAAGCCAGCAGGAGTTGGACGCCTCTCCGCGAAATTAACTGGCCGCGAACCTACTAAGACGTTCCATACAAATCACGTGGCAGAGGGGGAATAAATTGGAAGAAGCGGGGATGGGGGCAGTAATATACTGACCATGGCCGAGCTGTCCAGTTTGCCATGCGCACGACTGTTCAGATCCACTGGAAGCACGGGGTGGCAAAGCTCGGTGCGGAGCCAGCTCTCGGAGAACACTCACTGGTAGCCCTCACACCTGCGCACTGCCTTCACCGGTACCTCCGTGGTCCTGTTTCACACCACGTTTGAATATCCAGACGGATTTCTGCGTTATGACACCCAATGTTGGGTTTTTCATGCAAGACATTGCTAAGCGCTCTTTAACCACGATTTCCTTTCACTTGCAATGAGCTGAAGCAAGCTTACACGGACCAGGACTAGCTAAACGCGACGCAGATGCTGTATGGGCTGAGCGAGTTTAGGTTACAGCCAATATACCTCCAAAGGAAACTTCACTTTGTGTTTGCGAGCAATTAACAATGACTCAATTTTCATTGTTTTAATCAGTACTCATCCCCGCATGTACCCCAGCCGGAAATGGTGACAACGCAACACCCGAACTTGCTGTAACTAGTGTCATGTCAGGGAGTGCGTCTCCTATAGTGTGTTGAAGTAGAACGCGCAGAGCAATTTTCAGAAGTAATCATTCCTTGCGTCTGATATCCCCATGAGGGAAAACAGAACTGACCATTGGACAGCCACACCTGAAGAGGTGTGCATTTACGTGCTCGCCACCCACGGTGTGACCCAGCTGAGCAGACCGGGCTCGGTCTGAGCCAGTCACGCCGAGTTTCCGGCGCCGCGCCGCGTCCGCTCGCCGCTCGCAAGCGCCAACGACCGGCCGGGGGACTTCAACGCCACACACGCGCAGTGGTGACTAACTCGCGACGTGGCCGCACCGAGGCCGGCCGGCCCGCTCTCCGTTGGCATGGCAACCACCGGCCGTAATTTGGCGTGTCGCGAGGCGACGAGTCGAGCCGAAAGACGAGACATTTTCTTGGGGAGGCTGAGTGCTGAGTGAGCTCCTCAGGGGCTCTCTGCGGGAGCCTTCGGTGGACCTGGACGACGTCGGTGCCGCGTGACGTCCTGAATATTCCACACTGTCCGGACCGTTCGGCCGTTTGCTGTGAGCTGGGGCACCAGAGGGCCTCTCTGGCGTCTGAGGGCCTCTGCTGCCGACACGTGGAATCACTCTGGACGCGGCAGCGTGGCGTGAGATGACTGTCGTGCGGTCCGAAGTTTGAAATAAAATGTGTCAAATCGATATAATTAAAGGACACGAACATGACGTGATTTGAGCGGAAGAAAAAACGGGTATATTAGTGTTACTGGGGCCCGTCATATGAACCACGCACTTAACATTCATTTTTCTGGCAAGGCATCGACCATGATGTAGCGTCAACGCGCAACAGCAACAAGCGGCGGTTTTCACGCCAGCGGGGTCGTGCATGCTACTACAGGCCAAGCATGCATCGATTGCACAAACATTTTCTGACGTCACACGTAATATTTCGCCGCTCGTCGCGAAGCCAACACGTGCAATGTGCTGTGCAGATACTAAACAAGTAGTAGATATTCCAGGTGGCGTAGCATGAGACCCACCCGCGCAGCGGAGCGCCTCGTTCTAGGTGAGCATACAGTCTTAGCGGCCTAAAAGTATTTTGAAAGTCTACAGGCAATAGATCGCATAAGTCCTAAGATTTTACTTCCGCAGCGTGCAAAAACATCGGATTACAGATTCTGATCGGCAATGTATGATTAAGGTGTAATCAGTCTGATGATCTGTTTAATTGGTGTTTTTGCTGCCTCAAAATTATGTACGAGGTGGGTAGCTGTCAGTTTTTGCTGATACCGCCACACACGTGTCGCAGGTGGTCCCATTTTTGCGGCTGATGGAATCATAGCGATGACACACGTCCCGTCAACTCATTCATAGATGACACATTCATTGATTGATTCGTTTCATCATTCGTTGATTCATTGAAGACGGGGACGTACTAAACGAAGCATGGCTTCAGATAAACTGCATCCTCAATTCTCTCACTTGGGCTTTAAACGATAGTCACAGCCCTATACCGGTTTACGGTAGTTTGCATTGCGTTTCTCCTATTCATGACGTGCATTTAATACCGCCCGTAGATAAAGTACTCAAGCCGAATCAATGCAAACCGCTGTGTTAAACTACAAAAGACGGGGTTGTTTACACTTATACATTACACGTTCCTAAAACAGTGAATGGAAAGCAAGTCTGCCCTCAGCCGACTTGGCACGAACACGTAACCTTTATTGAGAACAAACTCCCACAAAATCACCCGTTTATCCTCGCCACGGGCTCACCGCTGAGACTTGTCATTTGTAAAAATTTGCAATTAAGTAAGACTAGCTTAGTAAGAGTAGCAAAACAATTGTACTTACTAGTTAGTGAGAATAGTAAAATAATTGTACCCTTTTAACATTAGTTAAGTGCGCAGCAGGGCAATCAAAAGGCATGGGTACCAAAGAGGCGGGCAGGATCTTCTCAGCCCAGTCCACTCGCTTACGGTGGAGTACTGACCCCACCCATCTGTCCCCATTCGTGATCAGACCTACACAGCCGTCAGTCACCCATCAGCCAGTTTCCAACGACTGATTCCAAACAGCAGAATATGTGAACGTTTTTCGTTTAATTGCTCTGTTTTGATTTGAAAAACATATTCTTGTTACGTTACTGATTTTCACACATGTGTGACCTGCCTGAAGATGGCCTCAGTTTGCTGGTTAGATTCCTTGATGGAAATAGCCAAACCATTGCTAGCTACACAATAGGCTAATAAAACGCAGCCAATTGATAACACAACATGAAAGAACAAAACTAAATATACAAACTAGTACAGAAGGTACTTACCGGCGCCGGCGGGTACCTGCTTTTGATCGCATGGCTTGCTTTGGGTACCTATACCAATATCACCAATGATATGAGCATTAATTGTTGATTAAGAAGAAAAAGTTTTACACACAAGAGGCTGAAGCGAATGCAAGTAAAACATTAATACAAGCATTGTTAGCAGTGTTCCCATCTACAATCATTGCCCAAATGATGTCACTTTACCGGGAAAGAGAACTGATGCACCCACCATGAAGTCATTTGCTATCCTATACTACTTTTCTCAACACAAAATGTCAAGGTTTGTCTTCGGTTGACTTTGAACGACCTGACCTTGTAAAACCAGTCAGAGCTATTGACACAATTTAGTGTTTAAAGCTAAGGTAAGAAAGTCCGTCCAGAAAACGTCGTTGGAGTGCATTTCCTGCCAGTAGGAAGCGTTATCTGCCATTTTGTAGAACCACCTCATCGACAGTGACCTCAAGAACGAAGTCTGCAGATCATGAGCCATACTCTGCGACTCAACCCTCAAAGAACCTCAAATTTTCACGGGTGTAAAGATAAAGTACACTCAGGCATATAAAATGTCAGCACTGTCCTCAAGACCATTCAGAAAATATTCAAGGGAATACCTGATGGGTAGCTCTGAGGACTCCCTCGTTGGACAAGGGTTGACTGCCACCGGGTGGAAGCCGCTGCAGAACTGTCTTTGGCAGGAATGCCAGGCATCGCCTTGGCATTTGGCTCTAATAAACTAGAGCCACACGACGAGAACTGGGAATAGCCTTTTGTTTATAGAATCCGAAAATTTCCAGTGCAGTCCTTTCAGGTTAACCGCCAACACCCCAGGTCAGGTCAATCTTTTATTGCGAAGTCTCTTTTTAGCGAAACAGCGATAATGAAAGTGTTGTGCATTCACTGCTGATTGAGAGGGTGATCGGTGGGGAGATTTTAAGGGGAGGGTGTCTAATGTTTTTGGTTTCGCAATATTTGCCGAATGAAAGGTTGGCAATTGTCTATGATTAATTTTGGTTGCTAGATGCGCGTTTGGGTCCCCCAACAATTTTGATTTATCTTTTTTATCGATCGCATCGATAGGTGTGCGTGAACAAATACAACCCTAAAGGATTGACCAATCAGAGGACAGGAAAGGAAGAATGCACTGGCTTATATGTGGTGAGTAACTGCGCGCTAGAGACATGGCCATTTTTTGGTTGCTGAGCAACGTAGGACAATCACATTTCCCTTGAGCCTGGTGCAGCCGTTTGACACGACATACCACTTGTTGCTCATGTCAGTATATAGTAGGCCGACATGAATTGGTGCGTATCAGCTGACCAGCCTTACCATACGTCTAAACCCGTACATTCGCAACAATCAGCTGAATGTAAAAAAAATCAGCGTGATGGCCGCCACCATCGCCGCGTAGGCAACCTGCTGTCAGCGCTCACAAGTGACATCTTCGAGACGCCATTGGCTAGAGCTCACGACATCTTCTCAATGATGTCGGTGTGTTCAGTAGTGAATATTGCTTGGGGGCTACCGAATAACCTTCTTCTTTCATACAAACCAAAGACACATTGGGGTCTGTAGCAATATCTCGTCAGCGGAGGCGAATTTGTAGAAACCAATGACACCAAAATTTGTAAATCAAATATGTGCACCTTCGAAAATCCTAACTTGACTAGACATATTCTCTTGAAGGCTCATTGTGCTATCCAGAGGCAGCACGCTGTTGCCAGGGTCCCTATATGTCCATTGGTGGGGTCAATCCAGTCGCTAAGGAACGTTCCAGTTTTCCTCTGATCTCTTTCGTTTGCTCGAAGGGATCTACGCCGTTGCCAGGGCCCTATCTGCTAGCTTGCCGGGGCACTCTCGATCAAATGGGGCCCTACGCATTGGTAGTAGACTCTCCGATCAAGATGGAAGGATCTTTTTTCTGCTGCCGAAAGCCCCACATGTCCTTGCGAGCGCCAGGGTGTTTTGCCTGCTCATGTGCACGGGCCTGGCTAGATTATTTCATGTGCGCAAGTCCAAGATCCACACGATGACGATTTCCCTTGGCACCTTAGCCTTAGAGCAGCAGTTGGAAACGCTCCGATAATTTTTTACGCCCAATTGCCTAAGACTTTATTGCTCGCCACCGATAGTGCATCTGCTATTTCTGCTGTTTCTTGATTACATGAGGTTCATTTTACTTGTGCATCACGTTCTTGTCACATTTTGAACGTAGGATATTTTGTATTTGTTCATTACACCCGAAGAAAACACTCTGCATTAGTCATTAGCAGTCAGCTGGTGGCATCGACTAGCCGGCTAATCGCCGTCAACTGGCTAGCCGAGAATCAAGTGTCGTGCTTGATTCTGATGGTACTGAGCAACCAAATTAAGTTCAGTTTTCCGTACAGTCTTCGAAATGTTTAACTTCAAAATGACAGGATCCACCATGATCTTGAGAAAATGAGCGCGCTCCACGCATATGTAAGTGAAAAGTTGAAAAATGCCGCTCGAAAGCGAGCACTCGACCAATAAATCAGAATCGGGCAGGAGGGGCTAACTCCCAGCTATTGCGAGAGAAATGTCGGAAAACATATCCCGGCTCTCGTATTTGAGCTGCCATGCCACTGACAAAAACTTAGAGGCACCACAACTGAGCTCCTTAAGTACAAACGGCAGCCAACTTGAGAGTCCTGGGGCTTATGAACGCTTAACAGTGTCCGATCAAAAATTTCGTCAATGGGGGCACGCGACAACGTGAAGCCCCCTAGCGTCTTGGTTGCCTCCAAAATGTTTGGGTTTCAGTCCTCAAATTTTAGGATCATGATGTATACCGTTTTTTATACAAGAAGTCATCTTCCTGTGCGCAGCCATAAACACTAAGTGTATTGATGGCAGCTACAGGCTAACAACTATGCACACAACAAGACGTACACATGCTATACTATATCGATATTTTAATGAAGTTTACCAAAAACAGTCCGTGTACAAATGGTAAAGTCCAGTAAGCGTCGCCAATAGCAGCTGGAAATGCGAATACAAAATCGCCAAAGCGGGCAATCCCATCACA